TGTTATGTACTGCTGGATTTTATTTTCTGTGAACACAATTTCTTTTTACTGCTCCATATTTGAGCAGGACTTCTTATATATTACAATCACTGGTTTAATAAGACACAGGGGTGCAGTCATATTTTGACAGATTTACATTAAGATTAATGATGCAGCTATCAGTGGTGACTATTTTGAACACATTTGTCTTTTCTATTGATCGCTTTTTGCATACATGTTCACACAGCTTAGATCATTATAGGTGAAAACAACTAAAAAGGAAGCAGCAGTTAAATCGTGAGAAAAAAGTGGGACCCAAAAGGAAGGAGCTTTTTTTTTCGTTTCATGCAAATGAGGCAAGGGTGACACTGGGTCAGGGCATTGACTTGAAGGTTAACTGAAGGAATCAGTAGAGGAACACAGTAATCTTGCTGACAAATAGATAAACAGCACGGATCATATTTTTGTGCTTTATCTTTTGCGTTGGTAGCTGAATAATAAACTTCTGCACGATCTCTCACTTACTGCTGCTACTTTTAATTAGGATGCTTTAACATAAGGAGGCACTGCATGTGCACAAAAATGTTGGATAAATTATACATTTTTTATGCTAAATATTGAACTTTTACACTTTTATCATTTTAAAAAAAACGTAGTTTCTTCTATCTGGATAACAGGAAATTCATTTATTTACTACTTGTGAATGCCATCTTCCAATAATTAACTCAGTGGTATTTCTTGGGATGCTTTACTCACTATCTTAAAAAAAATTGGACTGTATTTAACCATTATATTTAATTAGGGTGGTGTCAATCAAAACTTTGGAGCGCTACTCTGCCGCAGCATTAATGTGTGGCGAGTACTATCCCTTCTTAAGAAGAGGCTAGGCAATAATAGAAGACGTGCAGACCAGCATGTACACTAGCACCACCAGTATTCAGACTTTGTGATAGTAAACACAAAGTGTGCATCACGGCTTGTCTGAGTAAAGCAGAAATCCAGAGAAGATGCTGTCGTCCTCACTGCTAGCATACGCTCCATTCCAGTCTCTGAGCGTCTCCATCCACAATCATTCCTCAGCACCTGATTGGAAAACTAGGCCTGCTGCGCCTGAACACCTCCCTCTGCAACTGGATCCTGGACTTTCTGACAGAGAGACCTCAGACAGTCCGGA